TGCTCGGGGTCGGGCAGCACCTCCTGGGTAGAGCCGCGCATGGTGGGTCGCGAGATCATGGCTACGTCTGACCAGTTCTGGCGGATGGGACCCACGGGCTTCGCATCGATATTCTGCGCGAGCAGCGCAAACGAGACCGCGCGCTGCATCCCCGACGCACAGAGGGGCACGGCCAAAGACTGGTAGATTCGGCGTAGCAGGAGTTCCTTGGGTGTGACCCGCAGAAAGTGATCAAAGGGAAGAGTTGTGTCGTGCACGAGCAGGACCCGGCGGCCGCTGTCAAGCAAGTAGCTGAGTTGCTGGGTGAGCAGCCCCGCAGTCGGTTCTTCGGCAAATGTAAGCTCATTCAGAAGGAGGAGGAAGTAGGTGTCCTTCTCGAGAGCAGCGTGCCTGGCTGAGCCATCAGAGGAATGAGACCACTTCGGTATCCTTCTCTCTTTGCTAGGGCTCGATGACTCGCGCAAACCATGGCGAAACGACGAAGAACTCCGCGCACGAGCCAGGCTCGAGCCACAAGCTTTTAACGGAGGCCGCGTCGAAGCCTCCGCGGCAACCTCCGCACCTTGGTCGCCGCCGGCAGGTTGAGCGTGCCCCTCACATCTCCCCGCTGCCACGGCAGCGCCACCCTCGTCTGCTCGGCCGTGTCTGCCATCGCAGTAAAGTCGTTATGTTCACGCCCCGCGCTTGGCAAACGTTTTGCTGCTCGGCGGGCCCGGAGAAGCAGCCCGGAAAAGCACCTTTTTTTTTAGGCTGATATTCAGCTGACTAACCTTCGCTCGGTTGGGGATGGGACGGGGAACTTTTGCGAGTGGGCAGGGAACTGCAGGGGGAGAGGGGGAGGGAGGCCCAGCGAGGGGCTGCGGCTGGATCGTACTGCGCGGCTGGACTAAAGACGCACTAAACCTCGCTAAATCTGGATGTAAAGTCGCAGTGAACTCGCGCTAAATTTGCGCTAAATTTGCGCTAAATTTGCGCTAAAGTTGCGCTAAAGTTGCGCTAAATTCGCACTAAATTCGCGCTAAAGTGCACTAAGAGACTATGGAGAGTTCACGTCATGACGGTTAAAACGGCTGTTAACCGTCATGACGTGGTCAATATGTCATGACAGCGGCTGCGAAACGACAGCAGCAACGACGGCAGCAACGACAGCTGGTGACAGCTGGTGACAGCTGGAGACAGCTGGTGACAGCTGGGACAGCCA